TAGGTAATTATAATCATATAGGAATGGAGAGACATTGGAAATTTTCATGTTCCGGTAATAAATACTGTGGTGTAAATTACGATGAATATTTGAAAATCAAGCAAAAATCCAATTCTGTATATAGCAGAGCTAGTGTCTCGACACTTAATTTTGATGATATGTATGCATTACATCGATATAAATTGTGGATGCAAAACGCTATCAGAAAAATCGAACGTGCTAGAGAAGTTGGTAAAAGGATTCGAGCATGTACAATTATACAGAGGAAAATTGTTGAATGGATTTATCGTCCTGATGGATTAACTGCTCAGGAGCTTGCCTTTCATTATGCATGTTTACAAAATATTAGAGCAGAAATGCGTCAAATTAACAATGTATAATCCATATATCTATTTATTTGATTTATTAATGTATAACTTATTTATATATATATATCTATTTTAAAATAAAATCATCTGGGATATCCCTGAGGGCTAGTACTTTAGACTTTTATTTATTACTATTTCGTGATGATTAATAGTTATTTTTTCTCGATGTATATTTCATAATTTTCATAAAAGATTCCAATTTTTTCTGCATCATAAAATACGATATTAATTTCTCGATACTATATATCAGTTGCAAAGCAGTGACTTAAAGAGTCATGAAATTTAATAAAGCATATTCAGGTTTGATCAATAAATTGCCACCATCCTTAGTTAATGAAGCTTGGACTCGTTTAATATCTCGGAAGAGAAATCCAATAACAAAGGATGAAGCTAGTGCAGTGAACCCATTAGTCGAATCATTTTTAAGACATGAAGTTAATAGATATCAGAAAAAATTAAAATACCAACGCAAAAGTTTACCTTTATTTAAAAATTCCTTATATGATACAGATATGACTAATCAGGAAACGCAAACCCAAGATATTGACCCAATTTGTGATCAGACACATAAGTGTCCTTGTTTTGCATGTGAGGAAGAGATCAATTGCCACATTAAGAAAGAGTTAGATAGTTTATCCCTACAATTGCTTGAATTCAACAAAAAAACTTTTGACCCTTTTATACAAGAAATCACTAAACGGCTTGAGGAGCGGGTTAATGCTAATAATAAATTGCGCAGTGAAATCGATCAACAGAAATTAAAATTGCAAAAAGCGGAAAAATTACTTGCAAGTCTGAAGTCCCAATCTATTCATCCAATTTCAGAGGGGAATCCCAACCAAG